AAATAAGGCGAAAACCAAAAATCTCTCTGCTTAAGCAAACACACACTAGTCCAGCAACTCCATACATCCTTCTGCAGTGTCTCCCACACCTCCAAAATCCACCTGAAAAAAGGTCAAACCTCTCATCTTCGTGCCTAGTTGGAGCCGCTTAGCGGCTAACGTGTGTGGTAAATATTTCAGGCACCTGCAGGACATGCAGGTGGAGGTACAGAAGGCGCATTTGGAGATCTCAAGTCTTTCTGTGCTGCTGCTTTTACTCGCCTACGGAGCACTGAGGTGATGCAACAGTCAGTCAGCGGATGACTCAAAATCCCATCCTCTTTGCCTCCACCTGTCTTTTCCCCCCCTCTTTTTCAAAAGGTAGTTCATTGGAGCAACATTTTACAAATCACCCTAAGAGAGCACAACTGCAAAGGACGCTGGGTAGGATCGGGTGGCGTGGCGCTGACCGACTGACCTGGTTGTTGATGGACTGAGTGGTTGGAGGTGGAGTCAGGGGCTTGTTAACCCTTCCTCTGGGGTTGAAAGCCATAGCCTGGACAGGCTCGCTCTGTGGCCAGAAACTCTCGGAAAAAACTCCCTGCTCGTCGTAGAAATCCTGAAAGCAAACACAAATAATAACAACATGTTAGGTTGCTGTTTTTTTACCCCCCATAAAGCATGGCAGAAATACATGTTCAGCTCCTTTATGTCTGCTGTTATCTATCCAGACCGTCCACATGTAAAAAAAGGCCCAAAACTGTCAAAAACACAAAGTTAAATCAGACCTGTGAGTAGAATCCCACAGAATGATGTCACCATTGCAGTTTGGCTCAAGTTCCAACCCCAATTCCAAATAAGTGTGAGACATGAATCAATACGGAAATTAATCATTCTCAATACTTTTCAACCTATATTCAGTTGAAAATATACAATACAAAGACTAAATATTTCATGTTCCAACTGATAAGCTTCAATGTGTGTTTGTTTTTTTGTGCAAATTCCCTCATTTAAAATTTTATGCGTGCAGGGCTACAAAAAAAGCCAGGCCGGGTAAATATTCCCCCCCTGTGCTCCATCGCCTTCCCTATTCAGTCTGAAGACGGAGGACACAAACTGCCGAAGCTTCTCAGGTGGGATTCTCTCCAATTGTCGTTGGATGCGAACCTTCAGCCGCTCAACAATCGTCTTGCTGACAAAAGCGTTTTTTTTTTTTAAATGGAAACGAGGGTTGTTTGGATGCTGCTCCAAAATCTGTGCGAGCACCTCAGCATTAATGGCGCCACGGGCTCTGGCACACCCCCACAGACGTCTGCCTTTGAACTTCATGCCGATAAAAATACAGACTGACCTTTTCCTCTTTGCCCCAGAGCACATGACATCATCCATCATTTTCAAAAACTAGTTGAAATGTGGACTCATCAGACCACAGCGCACAAATCTAAAGTAAATTATTTGATCCGATCGGATTACGTCAGTCAATGAATTACTGTAACCCCCCCCATAAAATACATGTCTCCTCTTCAATAAACAAGTGTTAACTATCAGTTTACGACAGAACCCCCCTCCTTATCACAAGTAAGGATTGGCCAAAAAAATTCCACTGTGGCCCTCTATAAAAATCTTGGTTATTTTTTTAATAAAGCTTTGCAGATTATTTACGGGGAATTTCTGTACTTGGGTTCTCGGTGTTTCTAAGGTTTGAAGTGGACTGTATCTTTCATGAGCCCTGAGACAACATTTACTGTGATTTGGCCCTTTATAAATGCAACTTAATTTATAAAATCAGTGAAAAAAGAAAAACTTTTGTGTATCAGTAATGTCTTTGTTCTGGTTACAAATTTTTACTACTTACTGGCCAACTAGTGAGATAGCTAGAAAGACCTGGATGAAGGTAAAAACTCCTAAAAAGAAATCTGACGTGATTTAGATTGTACAGAAACAGATAGAAGACTAGTCTTAAGGAAGAAAAGCGGTTCGCATTATGTCACGGTACAGACAAAAGAGAAAAAAAACCCAAAGATGAAGCAGACATTCATCAGGGGTTTTTATGTTCACTAAAGACCACATGCAAAGCTAAATGTTTTAACTACAGATGCTGGGGAGA